GTTATAGAACTGGAAATTAATACCACATAAATGTTTTCTGCTTGTCAAAATCCTAAGACTCATTTCTATTCCCATTCTCCTTGTCATTGGGTTTCAAATTTATCCTGTATTAGCTACTAAAGAACAGTATCCAATAATGAACTAGTAATAATAGTAATGGCTTGTTTTTGTTCCACCATCCCAATACCTTGACCCCCAAATAAAAATATGTACAGTTTTGCCAACTTAAAAAACAAAACAAACACTGACATAAGCACCAAAGGCTAGTCAACAGTGGCAATGCAGTGACATTGTTTCTACTTTCTCATTCCTTCCCCCGATCTCAAACCCCACCCTTTGACCTCTGTATATGGGATGAGCCTGAGCAGAAGAGTTGGTGATGTCAGGACTGCGCCGTTCCCACGGATGCTCCTAGAGGCCTGCTGTGCTTCTGGGAACTGGGGCACAGGGATGTCTGTCTGACTGAAACCTAAAACAACAACAATTCACCCCACCCCTCATGTTCCCCAACCCCCACAATAGCAGCCAGGTATATATGCTATATAAGGCCCATCTAATAAGTGAACATGGTGAAATCTGAAAGCAAGATCATTCTTAACAAGTCAGTGATCCTCATGGGGGCAGTAGAATGGAGACTGCTAAATTCTCCACATCCCATGAAATCACACAGTCCATATATCCTAATGCTGGCCAATCTAAGCAGCAAGAGAACAAGGTTCTCCTGCACAAGCCTTTTTTAGTAGACATCATAAACTCCTGAAGGAATGCAGTTGGGGTTCCTTTGTTAGTAAACTTCAGTTCAACAGATAAATATTTTTGTCTTAAGATGCTTAGGGGAGTGACTGTTCCTATCTTATGAGTGAACTGAAGCACAAAACAGGTTAATGATTTATTTTATGCATTCAGCTATAGAAACAGCATTACAAGCCAGGATTTCCTATTCACTAACTAGTGATTTATTGGATCATAGCCTCTTTGGATAGGACATCCAAAGCCACAGGATAAAATTATACAGAAGTATATCTTCAAAAGGTCCTGGTTACTGTCACTACACTTCTACCTATTAGAAAGAAGATCATCTCTCAAAATGATAACGCATATTAGAGCTAAAACTTGAGGAAGGATAGGAAAAAGGAGGAAAGGCTAGGTGGATTGGTGTAGACAGAGGAGGAGATAGTATATTAACTAAAGGAAGGCAATTAAAATAGACATTATATTCCTTTTTCTGCCACTAACTTTGTTTTATGGCCTTAGTTCATCTCCTTAATGATCTTGTGCTTCAGAAATGTCCTCCAATCTGTTCAAACCGGTAATTTTTGAATGTTTAAACCATTATTTTATGATAATCTCAAACTGCTCATCTCTGTTAGAACTAGTGTCTCAGAAATGCTAAAATGATTAGTTCTGAAATCACGCTGCTCTTAAAATAACAAATGCTTTCTATTATCTTTGTCTCACCATTCCCTTTCACTTCCATAATGATGTCACAGAAAGAGAAGCACTAAGGTCAACTGAATGTTATGGCGAGTTTTTACCATATATATAACCTAGAACCTAATTTTACCTTTTCAAAACTCTAGTTTTCCATACCTGTCAACTCCTAATTGATGTCTTTATACTGTGAGCTCACTGTGTATTCGGAACACCAACCCCTGAAAAAGCTTAAGCCAGAGTAGCACAATGGAAAAAACAAACAAACCCAAAACAAAAACAAAGCCAAAAAAGTCACACTCTGAATACTTAATTATAGACATATATGCAAGGAATGGAGTCATCTAAATGGCTAAAGCAAATCCCCAAAGAAAGTCCTGTGTTCATCCCAATCAATAAGAACTTTACCCCCAAAACTTCTTTAATCAAATTATTTGCTACATATATTTATGCATTACTGTTTAAAATGAGAGTTATTACAAACTCATGGTTGCCTTTAAAGTACATAAAGAAAGGAAATTTTAAAAAAAGAAAGTAAAGTTAACCTTGGGATGGAAAGAAAAGAGGAAGAGTCAAATTACCTGCAAGCAGGCTGGGGCTGTGCCTGAATCCAAACCGCTGCATTTACCATTCATTATACAGCTGCATTATGGGGGAAGGGGAGTTTAGAAGGGCACTGACCCCGAAAGTTCTCAATACTTCTCACTCATCATCAGGAAGGGGGAGAAGGAAAGTTTTTTCTCTGGGTATTTTTTTGTTTGTTTGTTTTTGTTTTTTTGGCTCCTGAAAAGGCTGGTAAAGAACAGTAACAGTGCAAGCAGTTAGAATATTTCTTTAAAAACAATTTTAAAACTGCAAAACATTAAGGAATTTAAAATACCAAACTTTCGTTAATATAGAAAGAATTTTCACTAGAGTTAGGCAGCCACCCCAAAACAGCATGGCAAAAGACATTGGTATAAAGGAAATAAAATATCACACAAAAATCCAAAACAAAACTAAAAACATTTCAAATTAAACCTGGAAGACTAGAAGATTCCAACAGCAGATTTCTGTCCACTACTGAAACATTCCAAAATCCAAGCTTCAAAGGCGCTTAAATGTATCTTAAATGAAACTTTGTTTTGTTTTGTTTAAGAAAAAAAAGAAAGAAAGCAGTGAACCTGGTTATAAATCCTGAAATATATTACATTTAAAAATATCCTAGTATAACAAAAACTAATTTTAAATCAAATTAAACAAACAAACAAACAAATAAAAACAGTAGCAGCAGAGGTTACCTGTCTGAGCACCTACATTTTCTTAGGAGGGGATCGTGTCTCACCAGCCATATAGCCCATAAACCTTCTCAAAAAGAGTGAGCCAGAAGAAAATTGTAACACAGATTTGATTTCACAACGTCTAAGCTCCCCAGACCCCAAAATGGGGATTCACTGAACGAAGAGAATTTATTTTTCTGTCGTTTTCTTCTTGAGAAAAAGAAGAGATGATTTTGAAAGTCAATTACTTCTTTCAATGCCTTCGATACCTTCTCAAAAGTCTGATCAAGTGCTTGAGGAAAGCAAGTCTCTTGATGGATTTTCTAATGTTCCAGGGTATTTTCTTATTGGTAGTATATACAGAAAGATTTCAAAGTTCAGTGGAATAAAAGCCAGCAGAAATGACCAATCAATTTTAGGCATCAAAAAAGAAAAAAACTATTAAAAACTTTAAATAAAATAGTTCATATTTATGTGTGTTTGTGTGTGTATAGTCCAGTTTTCAACATGGTGACATAAAAGCAATATCAGAAAGAATTACTTTCAAAATACAATTCAGAATTACAATTTTAACAATACACAATAATTTTACAATAATTCAGATTTTGTCAAGATAATGATTATACATATTTGATAAATACATTTTTACCTCTCATAATAGCAATAAAGATTATACAGAAGTTATTAAACAATATGAATATATATTTAACTTTCACTTAAATATCTAGGCTGCTTTATTCAGGTTCTTCCGGAATGATTTGTTCATATTCTTTACCTTAATATTTGAGGGAAGTCAAGTAGATATTCATGTTTTTAAAGTCTAACATGACCATTCCTGCCCTTTTCATTCTAACATGTGAGTGTAGGATCCAGAAATAAGTTGACAAAGCTATGTTTTAATATAGTGTGAATGCACAAAAGATGGATAAATAGTAAATAAAACTAAAGGTGAAATAATCTCAGATTTTTTTATGATACAGTTGGTTAATTTGGTAAAATGTTTTTAAAGGCTACCTACATTTTTCTTGGTGCTTTATCCCACCCAACACAAACCTTGAGTTTTTCATCAGAGAGGGTGTTTTGTGTTTTAAAATTCATTAATCTAGGTACATGTGATATGTAACTATTCAAAGTGTATGTATCATAATTTATGTGGCAACCAGATGGTCTCTACACAAACATATGAATGATGATTTAATTAAGCAGTTCTTTCTCCTTCATTTATTTCTCTATCCCAAATGGTATGCATCCTCCAAAGTATGGTCATTTAGTGAAAGAAGTACCAAGTATTTCTTTCTGTTAATAAGTCAGAGGTACTTATATATGTATGTAAGCCCCACAATAACCCTGTGCAAGTCACATTCTTTTAGATGAGATTAGAATATCCTAAAATAAATTAGAAACTCCTCTTATGTATCTTTTTCTGAGGTGAAATGAGACACTGCACAGTTAGAGGTACTATTCTATTTGCCAACAATCAACCTTCCAATTTTAATATTATTTAATTCTATGGAAAAAACAAATTTTATTACATTCCTTTTTAAAATGGGGGAAAAACTGTACAAGTAAGCATGATCAAACCTCTATTAGAGCTGGTTAATACTGATCTTTTATTATTGCCTCGAAGTCTCTCTAGTAGTGTCCAAGAAATTATGTTTAAGGTCCATCTGAAGGAAAAAAAAAGCACTGGAGAGGCAAGAAAGAACTCGGGTAAAAGCTTCGGAGGATTGTAGGGAGATGGAACTTGCTGTTTAAAAAAATTACGTTGAGTTCTGGAGCATCTCCATTCCTTAACACACCTTCCAAACCCATCATTGGGATAGTTTTACCCATGTTTTAAAGGCTCCTATTATATGCAGTTTCGGGGCTTTTATAAATTCAGAAAGTAAAGGAATATGAAGAGTGGAGAGTATTGAAGGCTTCAGAGTAGGGCTATAAGAGACTCGATACTGCTAAATAAGTCCCCAAACAAAAACATTCAGTCCACCCCACCCCAAAACCTGTGTAACAGGAGAAAATGCACAGCCAGAAGCATTGAAGAAAAGCATGTAGCCTTGAATAAATTATACACTGAACAGTCTAGAACCAAAGAAAAAAAATCAAACAACATACAGATACACAAAAAGGCATAAGGAGCATCTATTCTCCTTACATCTTTAGGTGAGTACCTCTACCTCAGTGAAATTTAGTTATGAAAGCAACTCATCTGTTTTTTAAATTAAAAAGCTGTGTTTCCCATCATGCTCCATTGTCTAGAATCTATCCTTTTTGATTGGTTGGTGAAAACAAAAAGCAAAACACATACACATGCATGCGTGCACACACACACACACTTATATTCTCTCCTAAAATGTGAAAAATGCAAATATATAACACTGGTATTAGAAATCACTTCAGCTTTATACTTAAGAACTTATAGGCCCTTGATTCGACCCCCCCAAAATATTTGTCCTTGTCCTTATTCTTTAAATGCCCAACCACCAAAAGAAAAAAGGAAAAAAAAAAAGGCTTTAAATGCACATGTTTCAAGTCAGTGTCTTGTTAACAAAAAAGGTAGCATTTTCTTCACTTTGGCCATGGTTAAAGATGCAGGCATAGATCAGGGAATGTTAGACTAGCATGTATTAAAAAAAAATGCAACATTAACAGAGCATATATCTTTCAAAAAAGACTAAAACACTAACAAATACAAGTCAATGCACATATTTCAAACTAGTGTAATTTTATCTACATTGGAATAAATGTTATTTTGTGTACCAGACATTGCAATACTGTTCATTTCCCTTATCATGCAAACATGCCAATTTTGTCATTAAAAAGCTTTATTGAGTCATATTCAAGTATCCCTCCCACCCAAATTAAGGGAAAAAACAAATAAATCCCTCAAGATTTCATAAACTATGAACATAAAGCTGCTAGCCAATATGGTAAAGGCAGGATTTTCAGATTTGTGTTAAAAAATTGATGTACTTTAGGTAGATGTTTCCCTCACCCATTACAAATCTTTGCAACACAATGTGAAGTTATGCTACTATGAAATTTATACCAACTGTACAAAAACAAAAGAGACCATGAAAAAAATCTTGTAGGTTCTTCATGGCCTGAGAGCATATACATTTTTGAGTAATTTAAAAGGGTAACTACAAGAGCCTGACAAGTTTCTGTATCTCCCCTCTTCTGTCTCTTTATCTATAGGATTTGTAAATGAAAGTAATATCTTAATAGCAGAGGTCTAGGCTATCTCCCTCTTCTTCTCTCCTAACTAATCCTACTCAATTTTCTCATCTTCCTGAGCATCTTCCATGAACAGCATTGCAAGTTGGTTTAAAAAAAAAAAGAAAAAAAGAAAGAAGAAAAAGAAAGTTTTACAAGGGTTTTGTTGGTTAATTATTTACTGGTGGAGTCACTCCACCAGGAGTTTGATTTCATTGGCTAGCAGCTGGTTCATGTTGAACAGGCCCCCTGGGAGCTTGGTGAGCAGCTCTCGCTCCGTGCTTTCAGGGTCGCTGTCGACAGAGCTGGAACTTGCGCTCATGTTGTCGACAGCAGCGCTGGCTGGGGGACCCAGCTCCGGCTCACTAGTCTCACTGGCTGTGGACACCACGGAGAGCAGGGACATACGCCGGGTGAGCCGGCCAGAGGGCAGAAGGGAGGCGGCATAGTCCGCTATGATACCAGCTACATCTAGATTACAAGCCTTATCAAAGGCGATGAAACCTACATTTGCATTGGCCTCGCAGACACAGAAGGAGCCGTCATCTTTCATCAACAGGTCAATGCCACACACATCCATCCCCAGGATATTAGACACCTGGATAGCTAGCTGCTTCCCCTGTTCACTCAATGAGCACATCATCCCCACGCCACCTGGCAAAAGAGAAACAAAATAAAAATTTACCAAAATTACAGGTTTTTCAAATAAAACTAAAGCTGGCCTCTGAGGCTAACTCTTTCTTCTCAATCAGCAGTGAAAACAAAGGTGTAATTCTGGTGTAAAATTGGGACTTTGAAGTCTAAGTTTCCTTCATTAGAGAATCTCTTTTTAACCCAGTCTCTCAAAGAATTGATGACTTAGTACTTTTTCAATACGCTATTTTTTCTGAAGAAGACATTAAACTTTCACTGAAGCCAGTCATACTTGCAATAATATTAACCAAGTAGAAGAGACTTTTGCATAAATACAATTAAACCCCTTTATTTTGTATATGACAAAAGTATTCAGTTTTTGACTTGTAAAAACAATAGAGATGCATAATAGGGATAGAGAACAGGATGGAATCTGAGAACATGGTGACCTGAAAGTGGCTCTCTTCCTCTACAGTACCACTCCAAACTATCTACCATTCCTAAGCCAAAAGGATTGTGGGGCTTAAGGTAGCTGGTTGACTGTAGGTTGAGTCTTGGATTTTGCTGGTATCTGAGACAAAGGAATTAGAACTAGATTTTCTCATTTAGAGACCTGTTCAGGAACCTCTGAGATAAGCACTAGGAAGCACAGAATTTTGAGAAGAGCTTGGCTCAAAGAGCTCTGTGTATCCACAGGAGAAAAGCTGACATCAGCATTAGGTGAGTATGCTTGATGTCTCTGACCCCAAAGAGGCCAAAAAGTAACTGCACAGGTGAGCTGAGTCCTCCCTACCACTGAGGCTGGAAGAGTAGGGTTGTCCAGGAAACAGGAAGGCTTCTTTGAAGCACCTCAGCAGGTGACTGGCACACTAGCCAACTAATTAAACGTCTCCACTGCTTGGCATCTGTAGGACTGAGGCCATCTGAATGCTCCAAATAACCAAAGCAGAGCCCTGATGTGACAACAACAACAAACTAATAAGCTATCTACAACTTGAATGACAGAAATAAGATCATTTTAAGGAGATTCAAGTTCAGCACAAAAAGACTTTCCAAACCTAAAACAAAAACATGATTACCCAACTAAAAACTTTAGCAGAGGAACTGAAGGAGAGTACAGTCACCTTTGGGAGTTAACTTATAACTTGGAAAATCAAATGTAAGAAATATTTCAAAGCTTATAGAAAAAAATTGAGGTGAAGTCACAAAGGAAAGATGAGAAATTTGGAGAACTGAGTCATAGAAAAACTTCTCCAGGAGAGAAAAGGATGGAGGAGAAGCAATAAAGGAAGAAATTTTCCTGGAACTGTAGAAAAACTGAGCCTGCTGATTGGACTGAATGAGAAAAGATACATTTCTAAAAATGTTCTGATAAAATTTTTGAGCTCTACAAAAAAAAGAAAAAGAAAAAACTTAGAAAGAACAAATTACCCCCCTCCCAAAATAATCAGAGTAGATACGGACATTCAACTGCAATGATGTAACTTATAACAGATGTTACCTCAGGGCCAATCTTCCTCACCAAAAAAAAAAAAAAAAGATACAGGAAGATGAAGATGGGGAGTTAACAGTGGTGAATAATGATTCTTGCAATATAGGTATAATTAACTCTAAATAGATAAAGACTGCCTGGAAATGGATGATGTAAGTACTATATAAGAATTCTTGAAACAGAAGAGGCATACAATAAGAGGAATTCTAATATAGACTTGGACTAAAATCATTAAATGATTTCAGCAAAACACTGGAATGTAAAAAGCCCACGAAAGCAGGGATTTTTGTCTGTTTTGTTCACTGCTATATACAAAATACTGCTATAACAGTACTTGACACTTAAGAGGTACTCAAAAATATTTGTTCAATGAATGAATGAGTCAAGAGAGAGGAGTAGAAAGGAAAGTAAAACTGTTCTAATCTTCTCATTGGAGGAGAGAGGGATCAAGCGATGACAGAGGAAAAGTGAAGGTATTCCAAAGACTTCATATTATTATGAGGGCAGAGGGGTGTAAGAAAGAAAGAGCATCAGGGAAAATTGTTATCTTCTCAAATAAAAGTAGAAAATATGTGTCTGATTATAAGTGTAGGGAAAGAGAAGGTAACCACTAATGGAATGCAAAACCATGGCTGAGCCTCCAGATTAACTGAGTTTGGGAACACAGGTGGAAATGGAATTAATGGTACCTTATAAATCAGCAAAACTTAGAAAAGAAAAAACAGGAAAGAACAATTTAAATAATAAACACAAAATAAGATTGGAGAAATAAAATGAAGGGCATTAACAATTACACTAAAAACAAACTGAAAAGTTCCCATTAAAAAGACAGAAACTTGTCAGATTGGAATGAAAAACAAAACTTAACTATATGCTGCTTATAATAAACATACTTTAAACAAAATGAAAAAGAAATTTTTTTTTTTAATTTTTTGTTTATTGCGGTAACGTTGGTTTATAACATTGTAAAAATTTCAGGTGTACATCATTGTACTTCTATTTCTGCATGGACTACATCATGTTCACCACCAAAAAGAAATTCTGAAAACTAAAGCGAGTGGGCAAAGAGATAAGTGACAAAGGCAAAACAAACTTCACTTCTTAGCCTTATATCTCTTGACTAGAGCATATATACCGTATATGCATTTTTCCCTTTATCAAACATTAACAATAAACAATCATGTTTTTGGCCACAAAGAAAACTTTAACAAATTTTAATACTTTTACAGGCCACGTTCTCTGACAATAACCCAAAAAAATTAGAAATTAGAAATTAATAATTTAAGTAACCAAAAGAATATTAACTACTAGAAACTGCACAATTGATTCCTTGAATTAAAATAAAATGAGAACCATCTGAAAGAGAAAAACGCTTCATACCAAAAACTTCGTTTTGAAATCAGAAAGAAGAAATTTAGTACTGAGAAAGAAACTAAGAGAGATTTAATAAAGACAAAAAGTAGAACAAATAGAACAGAAAAAATAGAAAGGACAAAAAAATCCAAATGCTACTTTGACAAGATTAAGCGTGATATCAAAGACAGAATCACGTTGGGCCGGCCCCGTGGCTT